AATAGCACATAATACATATACTTATAATTAAAGGAAGGGAGGTTCCTGACTTAATATAAAAACTTCAAAAACATACAAATTTTGGCATAAACATTAGGTTTTGTTGTTGTTGCTTTAGGGAAAAAAAATCCCTTAGTAATCAGCAATAGCTTAGTGCAATTGTTAAAAATATGGTGTGTTATTATAGCCTAAACACTTGATTCCTGGACATGCCTCCCCATACCCCCCACCCACAAACTCTTACAAGTATGTTCATTCCTAATTATACTTGAAAAAAATATTTAGCTTATGGCTACTTGAATAGCCCCCACATCGCTCTTCTTTCTTTTTTGTACTGGAAGCCCCCTCTTCTGTGTTCCTTTAGCACATTTGTCCACATCAGTCCATGAATAGGCTATGAGCAACTGAGAAAAGTGGCCTTATTAGTCTTTGCATTCCTGCACCTTATCTAATCACTGGCAAAAAGTCTTATTTTTCCTGCCTGCCCTTCATTCTACATATGATGGCATATGTTATGCTTTCTAAATTATTGTATTTCAAAGAAGACAGCTCTAAATAGGAGAAAATTATATTAATCAAATATTTCTGTTACACTGAATTTAACTATATATCCATAGGTTTGGTCATAAATCATTTCCTGATATTATAATACAGAAAGTCAGTGAGGTCCTTTAAAAGACTTGCCACTAGAACCTTTTCTTTACTGTTACTGGGGAAGACCCAACGTAATGTAATAAATGGGTAAAATAATACAAAGACAAAATGGCAGACAATAAATGTATGTACATATATAATATTTATATATATCTATGTAAATTTTATAAATCAGAGGGGAGAGCTTACATTTTAAATCTGACAGAATGAAAGAAAATTTGAGACATTTCATCCAACCCTGCCTCTAGTACAGTGAGTATAGTTAGTACATAACTGAAATGTCTGCTGAAAACCTTAGGGCAATTGAAATGAGCCTTAAATTTCCTTCCCACAACCACCTAATCTTTCTCCCCATCTCCCCCACTCCAAATCACAAAAATGACATCTCTAACCTCCACAGTGTGTCAGATTTAGGAGTAATCAGATAGAATATGGGCAGAGTAAAAGTTTGTAATAAAAAGCCAGCTTCATGTTCACAGATTGACTGAGTTGCTGCTGGAGAAGGTGCCTTGATTAAACCTCACAGAGCCTCATTTTTGGCACATCTTTGACCAGTTAGGCGGGCCTAGATTCTACCCATGCTCAGCAATTCCTCATTCCTCTTAGGGAATTGTTCTGCTTCTTCCACAGCTCCTCCTCCTCCAATTAAGGGTCTGACACTGCCCATTGACCACGTTTATTTTTCTGCCTTTTGGCACCAAGAGCTTGTCTGTTGTAGGATAAAAGTGGAATTCTCTGCTGTCTGCAGGGCTTTCCCCAGGGAACAGAGCATGAAACCCAAACTTATATATAAAATCATATCCTGTTTGCAAACATCATATTCCCTTTGCTTCTCACTAATCTGGTCCTGTAAACCCCAGCACAGCTTGAGAGCCCATTCCTCATCTAAACAAATGCCACAAGCTCCTTTATACTTTTACAACCATGTCAAAAAATAATATTGCCTGCCAATAGTGATGTGATTGGAGTTGCCTCCTCCAAGCCATAAAAGAAGTGCAGAGTCTGTTATCAATTTCTCTAAGTGTATCAGGGGAATTATGGGTCGATTCAGTTCCAAGTTATAAATGACAACTCAAAAGCCGCAGAAGCGTTTGAAGCTGGGAGCTGATGACGACATTATCATAAAAGCCTGCTCGTCCTTGCTTTTGTGGGTTTTTTTTGTGGCCTATCAAGTGAAGAGGGAAAAATAAAGCTGAGAAATGATTTCAAGATTTCTTCACACAGCAGCAGGTCAGATGGCCAGAAAAAATGATCACTATTTTTAGTGATATACCCTTAGGAGTGAGAACTAAAGTGGTCCTACACTGGCTTTTATTTCCAGAATCCCTTAATTATCTATTTCATTAGATGATAACCAAGTCCTGGTATTTGGTAAAATACTCTCTGCAATTGACGCATTTTCTTGTAGTGCAATCACACACTAATGAAAAGTGAGTCATGCCATAGTAACTAAGAAAGTGAGAACCAAACAGAAAGGAATTAAAAACCCTTGAGATTGTTGCTCAAAATGCTATTCTGGAAAATATACTTTAAAATACCTGAAGTACCAATTGCCCGTTGAGCAATTTAACCAACTACTCTCAAATAGTCATAGGCAAAGAGTATATACCTATCATGATGAGCAATGGGTAATATTTATAATTGTTGAATTGCTATATTGTACACCTAAGACTATAATACTATATGTTATCTATACTGTAATTAAAAAACTATCATATGCAATTTTAGGTAAAAATTTAATAAGAAGTAGGGATTTTCAGATTTCATAATGTCCCAGATAGTCTCCTCAAAAACCAATCTAAAAAACAAAACAAAACACAAAAACCAGTCAATCTATCAGCCTTCAGTAGGTATATATTAAAGTCCCCTAGTAGCAAGGTATATATTCTAGGACTAGAGTTTACTTTAATAATTGGGGAGCATTAAATATTTTGGAATTTAAATCAGTGTGTGCATCTTAGATAATGTGAACTGGAAGAGTGCCTTAACAACAAGAGCAATTTTAGTGTTTTCTAAGCTCTCTGGAGTATCCCTGCTGTGAAGTTGGACCACTCTCAGTTCATATTGGATATCTTTGTGTAGTCAATATGTCTAGAACTGTCCCAAAGTAAAAATTTAGACTGGTACAAATCCAGAGGATTCAGAGTTTCTCTTAGGACTTGTATCAAAACCCAAGATATGATGGGCAAGAGGTTTCTGAATGCCTTAGAACACAACTTGGTTTCTGGAGGAAAAAAAAAAAAAAAGGCCAAATCAAACTAGTTCTCTAGACTAGCAACAAGGACAAGCTTGTGTGTGCACACACATGCATGACACACATGTTCACACACATTTGGACCTATATTAACACCACCAGAAGACCATTAAAAGACCCAGAGGCCAATCTAATAAACACAAGTACCTCTCTCCAGCCTTCTCCAGCACTAAAGTCAGATTAATCCAATATTCTACCTCCTGCTGCTGCTTGCTACTACTAGAGTAGTACTAGCTAAAGAATAAGAAGTTACTGTGGTATGAGTTTAGAGCTGTTGAATAGAGGTACTTTGTGTTCAAGGGAAAGTGTTGCATAGGCACAACCCAAGTCAGACTTGGGACGTGGATCCTAGGGAGTTGTCCTCATTTCAGCTCTGGGTCATGAATTAAGTGTAAAGGGGTGGAAATTTGATGATCATCACTCTTTTCACAGTTTTGATTTCCTCCCCATCATTGTATCCTCTAAGTAGCCATTAGCTTTGTTTCATTCTTTGCTCCATTTGCATGTAATCAGTCATTCTCTTAAAAGGAGCACTTGAGATGTTAGAAAATAAGTACAAAAGCCAATGAAACCTATTTTATTTTTTAAAAGATTTTATTTATTTATTCATGAGACAAGGGCGGGGTGGGGGGTGGGGGTAGAAACATAGGCACTATACCAGCCATACTGCTGTACTGTGAGGCTCTAGGGATTGTGAAGATAAAAACCATGGAAGAACCTAATGAGCTCTTTTAGAACTCCTATACATAGACATGAACATCAACCTCATACTTTTAGCCTTTTACCCTTTACTATGCGACTTCAGGAAAATATGATTTCTCTGAGCCTTCCAGTTTCTCATCTGCAAAAGGGTATTAATAATAATAACTATTTCACAGGGGCACCTGGGTGGCTCAGTGGTTGAGTGTCTGCCTTTGGCTCAATTTGTGATCCTGGAGACCAGGGATTGAGTCTCTCATCAGGCTCCCTGCATGGAGTCTGCTTCTCTTTCTGCCTGTGTCTCTGCCTCTCTCTCTCTCTCTCTGTGTGTCTCTCATGATTAAATAAAAAATTTTTAAAAATATACAATAAGTATTTCACAAAGCTGTTATAAACCTCAGTTATGTATTAGCAAACTGTAAAATCCAAGCAGGTATTTTTTTTTTTCCCAAGCAGGTATTGATTGTTGTAGTTGTCATCCTTATTTCTAGAGAGGGCAAAATCATAGGTGAAGGGATAGAAAGATTATCCTTGTGAAATCTAGAATCACTAAAATGGTAGAATTAACTTGAAATATATGGGATTTCCCTGTATAGAATTCAGTTATAGCAAAATACTGCCTAAAATATGATACCCACAGTTCTTTCCCTTCAATATCCAAGAGGCCTAATTGACTTAAATTCCTCGGTCCTTGAAACCTGACCTAGAATTATGCTCTCCTAACATGACTTAGCACTTAGTTCTATAGGATGACAATTTGTTACTGGTAACAGTTAACCTTAAATAAATTGCAGGCTAAAGGATGTGTTCTAATCATCCACAAAAATGTAGACATTTTTCTTCATATGTCAGTGGATTCAAACAAATTTGTCTTTGAAATGTGGTATAAATATCCTGGGTCAAAAAAGGCTTTGTTAATTACTGAAGCCAAAAATGGCCCCAGGGGTTCACAAACAAAACGTGCCAAAATGCAAAGCACTTTGTGAAGTTTATGCTATTTTCATCAAGAATACAATGTACTTGCATACTCAGTGTGACTCTACTGAGTACTGAATTCTGCTGCAAAACTGTTAAACCTCTTGCGTTACCTTTTCTTCAGCTACCTAAGTTAGCAAAACTAGTTTATGGAGATGTTATCTGTGCAATCACACAGAACCCTAGAGTAAGAAGAGTCCCACACTTGGATTAATTCATTGTGTCACCATCTTGAATTTCTTAATAAATTTTGAGCATGGGGATCTGCATTTTCATTGGGAATTGAGTCCTATAAATTATGTAGCTAATCCTGAAGTCTAGGATAAGTTTTACTGAGAAACAGCATGAACAGATAAATTAAAGGAGATATTTTTGACAAGTTATGTTATTTAAAAGCAGTAAAAAAACTCATACTTACCCCAAGTCCACCACAAGGTAATGAAGAAAAAATCTTTTGAGAGGTGTCACCTACACATTAAGAAGATATAAAAAAATATATATATATATCAATTGGGAATACAATCATGATTTTTAAAATTTGAGTGTTTATTAACATGCAATATGTCACATAGTATTTATCATTTGATTTAGAAGAAAATTAATCAAATTTTATACAGGTAAGAGCTCAAAGCAAATGATATTACGTGTAGATTCTATTGCCTTACTTGAACAAACACATACCTATGAAATTTGAGTCTCAAAAGTTTTTTTAGCTTCCCTACAATCATTTACTATATGACATCTTTTTTTATATATACTTTACTTAAGATAACTCAGCTATTCTGAGTTATCACTCTAAAGTGATGTGTTAAGCCACAAGTTTTTGAAAAGCAGTTATTTTTTAAATGTTTTAAATATTTAAGCATCTATTTAAATTTCAGACTTATTCTTAATTTCTCCTTCAGATATAACTAAGACAAAGTTTACTATAAGCTTCTTCAAAATCTACATTTTTAAACAAACAAATCAGAAAACACTATAGAAAGGATAACCCTTTTGGGAAATCTATATAATACAAATAGAAATATATCTTTTTTAAAATATGTACCAAATTCTTGCTTGCATCTGTCTCTTAGAATTGATATTTCATGGAATTTTTAATCATTTTTTACCTGCATTTTAATTTTCTACATTATCTACCACATTTAATAGAGAAAACAAAAATATTCACTCCTAAACCTCCCTGCAAAGTAATTAAAGGAAAAGGCAATGGTCATTTCTGTCCCAATTTATTTGTTGTATTGATGATCAATGAAACAAATAATGATGAAAATTGAAAATAGGTTTGTGGCAAACTTCACATGTCATGTCAGTAAAGTCTATCTAGATTTTGTTGTCAAAGAGCACTTATTTTGTGAATAATAAATTGTTTGGGTTGAGTTTTCAAATGCAATTGCTAATGGATGGGAAATGATAAAGCAAATGTAATCGCAAATGAAAAAATAAGACATCTTGGGGTGCCTGGGTGGCTCAGTGGTTGAGAGGCTGCCTTCAGCTCAGGGCATGATCCTGGTGTCCTGGGATTGAATCCTGCATCAGGCTCCCTACAGGGAGCCTGCTTCTCCCTCTCCCTATGTCTCTGCCTCTCTCTCTCTGTGTCTCTCATGAATAAATAAATAAAACCTTAAAAAAAAAGACATCTCATTACATATAAGGATGAGGGGAAAAAAGATGAGAAATCAACAGAAAAAAATATGGAAATCTTGGAAAAATGTTAAAATTGGAATAATGACATCAGTAAAAAATACATGAGAAAATTTATGGACAGCTTTGAGAAAAGCAAAGTTTTCTTAAGTGGTTGTTGCTCATAACAAAGATATTTCTGTATTCTTAACTATTTTGCAAGGATGAAATAAAATATCTTAAATATTTTGCAAGGATGAAATTAAAATACATAGTAATATTTTAATGTCTGAATTCTTCATTCCGCAACCAATAAAAAGGGATTAAAGGTAATATTGCAATGTAATAAAGTAAATTTAAAGTACTTTTAAAAAATTATTAAACTCTAAGAGAATAAGTAAAATAAATAAGCTGTTTAAGAATTTTTAATAATGTCTATAATAATAAAAACAGCCTAATAATCAATAATTTAAATTTAGTAATGTGTAAAAAATTTTTAATTCACTGAATTAATTGGGTTTATTTTTTAATAACGCTCTATTATCTTATCCATGGATTCATATCTGGCTAGCCACAAGAAAATGGTAACTGGTAGTAAGAACGACAGGAATATTAATGTAAAAAAAAAAAACGTGCACCAGAAATGACTGGAGAAAATGTATTTAAACTGTCACCTTACAGAGTCTAGAGTATTTAAGGAGATAAATGGCACCTATTTTCAAAACTAATCATTTTATAAGTTATCAATGTCTTTTAAAATGCAAAGACTGATAGGCCTGGTCATAATGAACCTTTATTTAAATCCTTCCCTCTAACTCCAGGACTTAACTATCAAAAACTGTAATATCATTTTAACTCAGAAAATCATACAGTTGAATGAATTTCAATTAAATGTGTGTGCACAATGACGGGTACCAATCACTGCCCACATCTGTACTGGAAGGGACTGAGGTAAAAAAGGAAGTATGGAAGTGAAAGAAAGGGATAAAGAAAGGGAAAATATCTTGATGATTATAAATTTCTATATATTTGCATATGCGAGCTTCAATCTGGTCTTTTAGATATAAGTACAAAGCCACAAAAATTCAAATTTTCTTCAAAGAAGAAAAATTTTGAAATTAAAATTAAAAAATAAAATTAAAATTTGAATTAAGGAAAACCAGCTAAGTTTCTGGATTCACAAGAGAAAATGATGTAGTTCAGAGGTGTTATGAAAGTTGAATTTAGGTGCACCTGGGTAGTTCAGTCATTCAAGTGTCTGCTTTCAGCTCAGATCATGATCCCAAGGTCCTGCGATGCAGCCTCACTTAGGTTCCCTGCTCAGTGAGGAGGCCTGCTTCTTCCTCTCCCTCTGCCCCCCTCCTCTCACCACTCATGTGCATGCTCTCTCTGATAAATAAATAAAATTTCCCCCAAAAGAGTTGAAATTAGTGCTTAAAATCAGTATCTAACAATGCAACATCCATGTTTATCTTTAATCACATAGCCTGTGCACAATACTAAAGTTGCCGCACTGATCCCTAAGAGGTGCCTATGGAACTCCTTATGTGTATCTAAAGCTAACTCTAAAATTATCAACTGTGCTTTTGTGGTTTTTTTTTAAAGATTACTTATTTATTTATTTGAGAGAGTTAGTGGGCACACAAGGTCGGGGAGGGGTAGAAGGAGAAGGAAAGAATCTGGAGCAGGCTTCATTCATGTTGAACAAAGAGCCCAACAGGGGGCTTAATCTCACCAGCCTCAGATCATGACCTGAGCCAAAACCAAGATTTGGATGCTTAACCCAGTGAGCCACCCAGGAACTCCCATATATTTCGTTTTGAACTGTTTAGGACCAATTAATCCATTTAGAAATAGTATTGAATTAGGTGAAAGAGTTCAATACTTTGGATCTGACACAATAGGTTTATTTGAAAGGGACAAGAAAAAGCCCTAAAATGCCCTTTGAGTTAAAATACTTAAAACATGATCCTTATGGCATGCGTTGCCATGTTGCGTATTGTTATTCCATTATAAAATATTAATGAATTTAATATAATGAATTGCTTCAGCTAAAATATGGTTTTGTTACAAACTGTTTTCTTAAATCTGTTATTTCTATCACTGATATAAAGTTATGTAAAGCTCTGCAATGTAAATTTTACTTTAAAATCTGATGGCAAATGTTTGAAAAATTATATAATAATTAAAAATTATATTTATTAGTTTTCTACTTCTGCCATCTACTTTACTATTTAATTCCATAGTTAAGGCATGCATTAGACACATTATACCAAGATTTAAAATGCAGGTGCCTGGCTGGCTCAGTTGGAAGAGCACGCAACTCTTGATCTTGGGGTTCTGAGTGTGAGCCCCACACTGGGTATAGAGATTACTCAAAAAATAATAAACTTTTTTAAAAATGTAATCTTACTGTAAAATGCAGTGTTCTAGGCATAGTAATAAGGAGTTTTAACTTAAAGTAAGTTGGTACCATGCCCTTCGTTTGTTAAGGTCATAGAAAAAAAAAAGGAACTAAAAACACAAAAGAATTGGAAAGGTGAAGATAAACTTGCATAAAGAATGTGAAAACCTTTTTTTCTTTTAGTTTAAAAATGTAAACAAACAAACTCAACAATGCATCCATCCCTATAGGCTAAAACATAGTGAACAAAATTCTATTCAAATAAGAAAGTTAATATAAAAGTAAACATCATGGAACTTGCATTGTCATTTTTTCTAATGCAAGATTTTCTTAATCTACATTGACTTTTATTGTAAACGACTCATTCCACAGAGCAATGCTGTTGGAAAAGCTGATTTTTTATAACACTGCTTGCCAAGTATTTTGAACTGACAACAGCACTGACTAATGATAGTGCTGGAATGTGCAGTTCTCAGTAGAATGGAGACCTGTACAGACCTAGGAGTGTCCTGGGGTCCAGCTTCTGTCCATCCAGGGGGTTGGTGCCATACAACAGTGAGTGATGTTCAGAATGAACAAGCTGAATTTCCTCCAGGCTGGCTTTTCGACCTTGAATTCGCTGAAAGAAAACAGCAGAAGCCTACAGTATTCCACTGACAACATTTAAAAGAAAGTAAGACCCAAGTCACACTTTTAAGATGACTAACAATGAACCAAGTTTAATCATTCAGGAATGTGACACCAATTTGCTTAGTAAAGTACCATAAGAACATTTGGAAAATGAGTGTGTATGTAAAGTTCAGATTCTAAGGATTGCTTATGCCTAACTGGGCAACTGACATAAAACATATTTTTTGGCATAAAAAAATAAATCTGTAACAAAAAATGTAATAGTTAACTCCTTTGTAAAAGTATCAGCTTAACAGTAAATAGGGGCTAAAAAAAATAAAAGACAACAGAAGAAACAGGGGCTACTGTTTAGCTGAGAATTAAATTCATTAAAATCTTATTTTACACTCACCTATAGAAGTTGTTAGAACAAATTCTTTATGATTTCTTAAAGAACATAAGTAAGTACCGATACATTTTATTGTATTTGATTATCACAAAAATGCTGATCACTTCATGTGTTTGCACTTCACAGAACCATTAACCTAGATCAATGTTACTCAAAGAGTATCCTATGGTGTCAGTAACATTTCAGCAACTGTTCATGAACTGTCTGTGATGAGGTCTATACAGAAATTCAGAGTAAATATTTAGAAATCTTCATAGTGATTGGACAGACTATTTTTATGTCTATTGAATCTAATATAATCTTGGGTGTCTTCAATTTTTATTTTATTTTTATAGTAATTTAATGTATTTTATAAAACCATTAGTCTGGGACAGAATAGAAATTAAACAAAACCAAAAACTGCTGTTTAGCCAGAAATAGTCTGACACACTCTAGACTCAGTCAATATGTTTATGCACATGCTAGGCAGAAAGTTGTACTTCTACTAACAAAGAATGGTACTTCAACAAAGACAAAAGTATACATTAAGTGAAACCTCAGTTAGTCAATATGCAAATTATTCTTCCTGGCCATATTTCTTGGTTGGTATATCTACAAGCCTAATAATATCATGCTGGTATAGGAAGTTAATTAGCCTTACTTTTGAAAATCATTGTGCTTCCTAAAATTAGTCAATATTAACATTTCACTTAAAATATGTAGCACAACCATAGTAAAATTCAAAGAGAATCTGTTCAGGGAATGCTGTCTTTTCATGTTTCTGACCATGGAATCAGCAGTTGACATGGAAACATCAAGAGACAACAACACCTTTATGAAGACCAGGACAATTCCATACTTAAGCTCCCTAGTTTAAGCAGATGTGGTTGTTGTTGATGTTTAAGGGAATAAAAGGCTAGGAAAATCTCAATATACTGATGCTCCCTAGTTTACTGGGTAGAGGGCAGAGCTGTGTTTGTCACAGAAAATAAATCATCATGTCACAGTGAGAGAAGAACGGTCAGAGACCTGAAGGGTAAGAACAAGGTAGCAGGAATGATATAAAACAGAAACTTCTTGACACTGTGCTAATATGTGCCAAGTAAATAAACAAATGCTTATGGGATTTTCTTTGTCACAGCATTGAAGTTCCCTGGTTTTGACATCCAATTTATATTTGTAGAAAACATTTTTTAAAATTTTAGAGGAATTTATATTTATAGAAAACATTTTTAAATCATTCAGCTAAGTGCAGAATGGTGAAATTAAACCAGGTAGATGATGTTGAAAATGAAAGCAAACTTAATGATGGCCATCTGGTCAACCATTGCTCTGATCAATAAACAATCATGTTATTGATATAGATGACTTGCTAGTAAACATTAAATTTGGAAGCATTTATGAAAGATTAGAATAACCGAAGAAAGAGAACAGCAAATAATGAGATAAAATAAGCACAAGAAAGTTCAAAGAAGTATTAAAGGTTAACATTTTAACTGTGAGATTTCAGCTGGTGGAAAATCCCCCAAGATAAACAGTGGTAACTCCATGGTCTGAGTCATCTAAAATTGGAATGAACACAGTACTGGAAACCAGACTGTGGTAACCAGTCTTAGCCCGGCAGAATAATGAACAACATGAAATAATAGGGCTTCCAGCTCTTGTTTCTGTGAGTCTATGAAATCCACAGCCACTGACATTTCACATGCTGATACAGTGAAACATCTATATCTCAAGCAATGTCAGTTCTATAGCTAGCAATCAAACCCACGTTTTGACTACTATCATAAAGTTTCATTGATTTTTTTCCCCTTTCTCTTTTTCTGTAAAGATATTTTTGCAACTCTAAATTGAATTTTTGCCTCTGGCCTAACATTAAATACCATTAATAATAAACATATCTTTATATTTTCATAAACTAGTCCCATATATTTACATACCATACACTTCATGCTTGTCCCAACTCCTTTCTCATCCTCCCACAATCTCACTAGCATTTGTGCTCAATGCTCAATCACACATTTAAAAAATAATCTGCTAATAAAATTTAATTATCGATGGTAGCCCAAATGCTGATAAATCATAAGAGGACACCTGCTGGATCTCGGTTATCACCTTGTGTAGTATCAGTTAAATAAGAATAAGGGTAGGACATTTGGCAAAGCCTATTTAGCACTGACTTACTCTGAAAGTATTCTGCTCTAGTTTACACTCTTGTCCTACCTCTCACTATTAAAATGTAATAATTCCTAAGTTTTACTTTGATTTCTTTCTGCCCCTCCCCTCTCTGCTCCCTTATGGCTCCAAGGAAGTATTTTATCCTGGTTCTTTTTATTATTATAGAGTATATTTCTTAAGAAATAATTACCTAAGTAATGTGAGTGCCCACCTCTGCTTCTATGGATGCTAGACAACAAGACCTACAAAAGAGGATGTACATGTTTCTATAGAAAGGGAGTAGTAAAAACCAACCCAGTAAGAAAAATGTTTCTACCTGGAAAAATTATCTGTCTGGAGAAAGCATGTTTTGAGATTTGTATCTCACAGGGGCACTGCTGTGGGAACTTGGTAGATGACTAAGCTGAAAATTCTGAAATAGCAATAACTTTCCTTCTTTATTAACACATAGAATTTTCTGGAATAATTCCATTTTCTGTCACTTTTATCAGATATCTTAAATTTGTCACATGTAACTTTTCCTCTCAATTTGAGGTTTCCAACAGTTCTCATTTCTGGTATTATCATCAGCAATTTATCATGTTATATGTTTATGCTTAAATATAGATATTTTCATTTAAGCTCTTCCCATATTTTTCTATTTCCTGTGTAGCCTTTGTTCCTTCATTTCTCTCTCATGATGCTCTCCTGAGTCAAAGGTCAACAACATAATGAGTCACGAAATAGGATAAAGTGCTCTGATAATCATAAATTAGGAAGATACTGATTTCCGTTCTCAGAGATACTTAGCATGCAGGATGTCTATCTAAAGTTATCTAGGATTCTGACCAAAAAGGGTTTCTGAGAATTCTGAGTATGTCTGGACACTCAATGCATATAAGGTGTGGCATTCTTCTGGGTCTTTCCTCCTTCAAATCCAAATATAGGTCTTAAATACCTTAAGGCTTAAGAAACAAAGTTTATAGCTCTTCTTTCATCTTATTAGTAAAGAAACCCAATGATATAGGATGTATTCATTATTATATTTAGATTCTCTATGACTTGCATTCAAGCAGTTCTTCTCTGAGAGTAGAAAAGGAATTAATGCGCAGAGGGCCAATTCTCAGTGCTAAGTACCTAGGGTATATGATCTTATTTAGTTCAGAGCCCCAAATAGTCCACATTCAGGTTTGAAGTTTGACCAAAGTTATTTAAAATGACCATATCATTGAGTATCCCAATATACCATGGTTCTTTCCTAAAGAAATAGTCTTTCTGAAATAAAGCCCGTTAATGCAACCTGATTATAGAAGGAATGTTCTGAACACGATCTACAAAGTCATACTGTGACAGGATAAAATTCACTCTACCCACACCCACCCACACACAGAGCACACACACGGTATACATTCATTTTTTTTTTTTCTGCCAAGGAGCAGGGGAAAAAGGAAACAGTTCTATTCCTTCCCCTCCTGTGTTCAAAGCCTGGATTGAGGCCAGTGTCCTAATCAGTTCTCATTGGCCCTGGAGGAATCAGAACCTTTTGTAAAATATAATAAAGGGCATAAAATCATGATAAAATGCATGAAAAAGCAGTGCCTTTGGTTAGGGAACTAGAAATAATTTAGCAGAACAGATGGATTGCATTGGTTTGGTATTATTGAGGACATGAAAGGGCTCATTTTGTGGCAGTTCCAAACTAAGAGAAAATGTCCAACTTAAATTTGACAAGTCAAAGTACCTGCCTCTGCTGGGGGAGACCCCATTTTCTTTAATCATTTTCAAAGTGGTGACATATTAGGGAACAATTTCCCCTGAAATATTTCATTTTCTGAAGATATTTCATCCAGTGTCCCTAAATATAAGGATGCTTTTTTATTTTTTTCTACAAAAATTCATAGGGTTGTAGACTTCAAAAGTTGAAGAATCATAAATGACTTAGGAGTGTCAAAGTTACCTTCTGTTACAAATTCCATACTTAATATTTAATGGATCAGTTCACAGCCTGTTCATTTTTCTTGATACACTTCTCTATTTTAAAATCAAAAATCTGGTCTCATTGCTCATGCCCACATGTACCCACTGGAGTTTGCAAATGCTACAATCGTTTCTTTAAATTTTACATAAAGAATAGTTTCAATCCCCTACCTACAACTGCATTCTTTCCTACTATATATTCCTTGTGGTCTAATAATCATTTCCTTATAAAGAAAGGGGAGTAAAAGAAGGAAAGAGGCAATTAAGCAGACAGGCAGCCCAACAGGCTTGTGGTCCTTTCTGTCAGTCACACAAAAAGAAAATAAGCTACAAGTCAGGAGCCCTGAGTTCTAGGTTGGAGTTCAAGTTGCCAACATATAGTATAACATCCAGTGCTCATCCTGTCAATTGCCCCCCTCAGTGCCCATCACCCAGTCACCCCATCCCCCTGCCCACCTCCCCTTCCACTACCCCTTGTTCATTTCCCA